CTGGACCCTCTTATACTATGTCACATTCCCTGCACCTGGACCCTCTTATACTGTGTCACATTCCCTGCACCTGGACCCTCTTATACTGTGTCACATTCCCTGCACCTGGACCCTCTTATACTGTGTTGCATTCCATGAATCTGGACCCTCTTATATTGTGTCATATTCCCTGTACCTGGACCCTCTTATATTGTGTCACATTCCCTGCACCTGAACCCTCTTATACTGTGTCACATTCTATGCACCTGGACCCTCTTATACTGTGTCGCATTCCATGCATCTGGACCCTCTTATATTGTGTCACATTCCCTGCATCTGGACCCTCTTATACTGAGTCACATTCCCTGTACCTGGACCCTCTTGTAATGAGTCACATTCCATGCACCTGGAACCTCTTATACTGAGTCACATTCCCTGTACCCGGAACCTCTTATACTGTGTCACATTCCATGCATCTGGACCCTCTTATATTGTGTCACATTCCCTGCACCTGGACCCTCTTGTAATGAGTTACATTCCATGCATCTGGAACCTCTTATACTGAGTCACATTCCATGCACCTGGACCCTCTTGTAATGAGTCACATTCCATGCACCTGGAACCTCTTATATTGTGTCACATTCCCTGTACCCGGAACCTCTTATACTGTGTCACATTCCATGCATCTGGACGCTCTTATATTGTGTCACATTCCCTGCATCTGGACCCTCTTCTATTGTATCACATTCCATGCATCTGAAACCTCTTATACTGTGTCACATTCCATGCACCTGGACCGTCTTGTAATGAGTCACATTCCATGCATTTAGACCTTCTTATATTGTGTCACATTCCCTGTACCTGGACCTCTTATACTGAGTCACATTCCCTGTATCTGGAACCTCTTATACTGTGTCACATTCCATGCATCTGGACCCTCTTATATTGTGTCACATTCCCTGCATCTGGAACCTCTTATACTGTGTCACATTCCATGCATCTGGACCCTCTTATATTGTGTCACATTCCATGCATCTGGACCCTCTTATATTGTGTCACATTCCCTGCACCTGGACCCTCTTATATTGTGTCACATTCCCTGTACCTGGACCCTCTTATACTGTGTCACATTCCCTGCACCTGGACCCTCTTATACTGTGTCACATTCCCTGCACCTGGACCCTCTTATACTGTGTCACATTCCCTGCACCTGGACCCTCTTATATTGTGTCACATTCCCTGCACCTGGACCCTCTTATACTGTGTCACATTCCCTGCACCATCTTATACTGAGTCACATTCCCTGCACCTGGACCCTCTTATATTGAGTCACAGTACTGCAGTTCTCACCCTACTGCATCAAATTCTTGACCTCACAAATTATTACATCTTTCATAAAATGTTTGATCACTATTTCAGCTTGACATAACGGTGGACAATCAGTTTGTAAATATTGTTGCTGTAACTGAATTTGGTGTCCAGATGTTATTTGATAAGCTGCACAAACCGGTTGATAAATCAGAGTAAGTAATTGGTATCTATCATCTTTTTGTACTTCATTTCCTATTGGCTGGAGGAGCCTACCATATTTACCCCTCCCCCCATAACCCTATCAAATCCAACATTTTTGGATTTGTATTTTGAGATGAACAAGAAGAAAAAACATGTTAACATTCACTAGCAATATAATTAAATAAAAAAAACATAGATGTTCCAAAGATTTTGTAACAGTAAACATTTTTTTTTGCAGAAAAAGCAATATTTTATATTTCATGTGACCCAGAATGTAGTTACAGACATGTACATCATATGAACATAATTCAGGTTTGGCTACAGGGGTTGATAATATTTTTGAAAAATGTTCAACATGTAGGTTTATTTTGAGAAAGACGATAACAGTTGTCCTTGCTTTTCAAAAGGGTTAATGTAGTATGTTCTATTGATACTAATGTTTATACTTATACATGTACATTGTAGATGGGATATGTCTCCAGCCGAAGTGAATGCCTATTACAACCCATCCGGCAATGAGATGGTCTTCCCAGCAGCTATTTTACAGAATCCATTCTACGACACTAATTTCCCAATGTAAGTGTGTAATTTAAATTTTGTAATGTTGTCACTGGCAACCACATGTTGTCACTGGCAATCACATGTGTGCTTGAATTCAAATATACAAAGTCACATTTATGAAAATTTAGATTGTTTATTTTCATTGTAGTTTACCATAATTGCTTCTTACTAATCTATGATACTGGAGATGTATTCTGTATAATAATACACTTTCCTTTATCAGGAACTGTAAAAGTTTGCACAATGCAGTGTTTTATTGGCATTTTTGGCTGTTTCTCTCATCAAACAGGAAGAAGGTGTATAATAATAATAAGGTTATGAGAATACAGCAAAGTATGTGATGACATCTGCACTATGACCTATGACCTATATGATTGTCATAGGTATAGTGTTTACGGTGTTCTTGTGACAAGCTTAATATTATTTGCAGTTCATGTACATACTGATAATGTTTGTGGGTTGCAAACAAGACACAACTCAGACCTATACTCTGTCTCTACATATTGTCCATGAGATGTTTGTTAAAATTGCTGATTGGTCAATATAAAAAATGTCACCAGTGATGAATAATTAATGATCTGTAAAGTCCGCCAGAGTTGTTGTTTTTCAACAGGAAAAAAACTTAGAAAATTAGATAGCATTTCCATAGCAAGCAGACATGTGGATTGTTGAATAACTCCGACTCACAGTGTATATATTTCCATGTTTGTAGTTGAGTGACTGTGTTTGATATTTTTATAGGTCTATTAATTTTGGTGCTATTGGTATGATAATGGGACATGAGCTAACCCATGGCTTTGACAACATGGGTCGTCATTATGATGAATATGGTAACCTAGTTAATTGGTGGCAAAATGACTCTGCTATTGCATTTGATGAACATGCACAGTGTATGGTGGATCAGTATTCTCAATACCAAGTTGGTGATATGCATGTGAGTAATACACTCAAATACTTTATTTTAGCTGGAATTAATTTTTGCTGAAAAACTTTTTGTGTATGTAATTTATTTTCACTGATTTTTAATAAGTTTAATGTCAAATATAGGGAAAAGGTATATTCGCTGGATTTTATTTTCACTGATTCAGAATCATTCCTTCAGCATAAATTAATTCCAAGCGAAAATAAATTATTTTACAGCACCTGTCGTTGACAGTTAGAAGTAAAATAACACGGTCATTCAGTTTGTTAATTCAACCAATGAAATACATCTGCTGTATTGCAAAGAAGTTGGGTTGTAGTATAGTTTTGTATGGTGGTAAATGTTGTGATGCCACTCTGTATTTTAACCCTTTCAGTGCCATTCTCATCTTTCAAGACCATCTACAAAATCATTTTCTACAGTCTGCTTCTCCCCACATAAAGTGAAAACACTTGATCAAAAAACAATATCTGAAATTGTCTGTATAGTCCAAAATGATGATGAAATTTAGTGACAATTTTATGAAATGTTAAAATATTTGCACTTCATTGTAGGCGGGAAAAAAAAGTTAATTTTGCGAGTAGAATGTAGAGTTTGAAACCTAGAAACACAACAAGCTTCAGACTAGCTTCAGTGCTTCAATATTTCAGGATTTGTTGGCAAACCAATGCATTTTATCATTTCTTCACAGTGATCACAGCAATCAATGGGAGGTATGCTGCATATAATACAAAGTGAGAATGCAACTTGTTATATATTAAAAACTAATTAGCATTTAATTTATTTCAGTTGAACGGAGCAGCAACTATTAGTGAGAACATTGCTGACAATGGAGGGCTTAAAATGGCTCACATAGCATACAGACATTGGGTAGATACTCATCCTTCAGATAGATTGCCACCAGGTTTAAATTTAACATCAGATCAGCTGTTTTATCTGGGAAATGCCCAAGTCTGGTGTACATACTTCACTCCAGAGTCTGCCATTGAGTCTATTTATACTGATGTACATAGTAATGATAAATACAGGTAAGAAGACAGTGATGTTTCCTACAGGAAATACTAATTAGATTTGCTGAAAATGCAATGAGTCGTTCCATCAAAATTTCTAGTGATGTTTAATGAGAACAATCTTACAACCTAAATTAACTCAGTTGATATCATTTTATAACTCAAATCTTGAGATTGTGCATTCAGTGATAATTGGCAGATGGTACGAATGTTGAATGATTTATAAACTTCAGAAGTTCACTTTCTTTCTGTTATTGCAATCAATTTATTTCGTAGAACATAAAAGAAGATAAACCTAAAACTCTTGAAATTCAAAATCACCAAAATATGTACAGTGAGATTATTAAACAACTACTGAACATTAGTTTGTGTTTATCAAATTTTCAAATAGTCAATACGGATAATTTAGCAACATTTAATAACACTTCTGTGTTGAAAAGGTTTTAACAGCATCTATCTATTTGAAAATTCTATATATTTCTATATATTGCAGGGTTATTGGTCCAATGTCAAACTCACTGGATTTTGCAGCAGCTTTTGGATGTCCAGTTGGTAGTCCCATGAACCCTGAAAAAAAATGCACTATTTGGTAAACTTGAATCATTCAATGAATTGGCCAATGTAGTGCATATCACTCAGTACTGAATTTTCTTTAAGATGAACTATGAGTGGTGCTAAAATTACAGTCAGCTGTCCTGAGACGACTTGTCTTCCAAACAAAAACTGTACCATATTGCCTTTTTATCTGAATTTGTAATGAACTATGGTCAATGACTGATGTAGTCAATGAGATTTGTATGGGCTTGCAAGAAGCCGTCAACTTAGCTTTATTTATAATCTAAAGAGAAAATTGTATTTTTAACTATTTTTATGTCATGCCAGATATTATTAAATTGAATTGAGTAGGCATGTGGATTTATTCAGGATCATCAGAATAAGCACACAGTAATTTTATAATAGCATGACTAGGTTATAAGTTATTTGACGAAACCATTGACATTTTGAGACATGTATAGTTTCCATGTAAGTATATAAATAGTGAAAAAGGGGATTAAAATATTTTAGAAAATATGTGTCAAGTTTGTTTCCTTTTTTGTAGTCAGAATTTAGGCATAGCATACTTTGCCCTGTGCAGGTGTCAAAATACATGGAAATTTGCCATGTCCCATGACACCATAAACTGATTACATCCACTGTGATAGGTGTTTATTTCTAACACATGTTCATGATCTGCACACACAGTGAAATTGGTTGTGAATGTCTTCATGTGCCACCTTCAGATCCTTTGGTTCGATTTCTGATTCGCCATTGTACTTCATGCTTGATAGAAAACATTGCCAAATTACAATTCAAGCATGATACATCAATATGCAACTCTATTGGCCATCAACCACCATTTTAAACAACAATAATATGCAGATCTGTAGAAAACATGGAACAAAGTTGTGAAAAATAACAAAAAAGTTGGCAGATATTTTTTTCAAACAAGACCTAAATAGTTGTCCTACCGAACTCGGCAGTTAAAAGTTAGAAAAAAATGTTGAGGGAAAGCCATATATGTGTTACCAGACTGTCATACGAGCTCATTGTATAATGTTTACAAGTAGCGTACAAAGTTGTGGAAAGTGATTGAAAAGTGGGTTGATTTGAATGGAAATTTGGCTTGCTAACTTGGCAATGTTGTTTTTATGTATTTATAGTTAATTTCTTTGTTAATTTTGCACCTGTTTGCTTAGTATATCAATCAGCTGATCTCAGAGACACAATTATGAAAGATATTGACCAGAGTACACCAATCAGCTGATCTAGGAGACACAATTATGAAAGATATTCACCAAAGTACACCAATCAGCTGACTTAGGAGACTCAACTATGAAAGATATTGTCCAGAGTACATCAATCAGCTGACCTAGGAAACACAATTATGAAAGATATTGACCAGAGTACATCAATCAGCTGATCTAGGAGACACAATTATGAAAGATATTAACCAGAGTACATCAATCATCAATCAGCTGACCTAGGAAACACAATTATGAAAGATATTGACTAGAGTACATCAATCAGCTGATCTAGGAGACACAATTATGAAAGATATTGACCAGAGTACACCAATCAGCTGATCTAGGAGACACAATTATGAAAGATATTGACTATAGTACAATTATGAAAGATATTGACCAGAGTACATCAATCAGCTGACCTAGGAGACACAATTATGAAAGATATTGACCAGAGTACATCAATCAGCTGACCGAGGAGACTCAATTATGAAAGATATTGACCTCAGTACATCAATCAGCTGACCTAGGAGACTCAATTATGAAAGATATTGACCAGAGTACATCAATCAGCTGACTTAGGAAACACAATTATGAAAGATATTGACCAGAGTACATCAATCAGCTGACCGAGGAGACTCAATTATGAAAGATATTGACCAGAGTACAATTATGAAAGATATTGACCAGAGTACACCAATCAGCTGACTTAGGAGACACAATTATGAAAGATATTGACCAGAGTACACCAATCAGCTGACTTAGGAAACACAATTATGAAAGGTATTGACTAGAGTACAATTATGAAAGATATTGACCAGAATACATCAATCAGCTGACTTAGGAAACATAATTACGAAAGATACTGACCTCAGTACATCAATCAGCTGACCTCAGAGACACAATTATGAAAGATATTGACCAGAGTACACCAATCAGCTGACATAGGAGACTCAACTATGAAAGATAGTTGTCCAGAGTACATCAATCAGCTGACCTAGGAGCACAATTATGAAAGATATTGACCAGAGTACAATTATGAAAGATATTGACCAGCGTACATCAATCAGCTGACCTAGGAGACACAATTATGAAAGATATTGACCAGAGTACATCAATCAGCTGACGTAGGAGACACAATTATGAAAGATATGGACTAGAGTACAATTATGAAAGATATTAACCAGAGTATATCAATCAGCTGACCTAGGAGAAACAATTATGAAAGATATTGACCA